TAATTTGGACAGTATTTAACTCAATTCGAGATAAATATATACCTCCTGAAGGCCCGCATTCATGGCATTGAAAAGTATTCGCGACTCTTTTTGTCCGCCATCTTGAATCTCTTGGTTTGTAAAACACAACACTCCAATCAAAACACGCATTCTTATTGGTTGAATTCGTGACATCACAGATGTCCTAATTTATCGGGATATTCCGGACTGATCATAGGTGCGCGCGGATCCCAAGACTTACGGTCTGCGTCCCCGATTATGGCTCCTGGTTTCCAATATGATATCCTTGAGGGATGGTTGGTGAAGGTGCAAAATACGATGTACGGTGCACTACTCTTCTAGCTCCTTTATTCGCACTACAAGGGATACTACGTTTAAGACGATCAGTGGTGAAAGATATGTAATACTCAAATAAGATGCTTCATTTCTTGTCGTTTACATTGTTGCAGTAAGTTAGTGGGCTCAAATCAAACTTAATTAAAGTTACATTGGACATGTACAAACAATAACCTCCATTTGGAGTGAAAATATGCTGGGATATTTGTCCGCGGACATTGTCAGCTCAGAGAAGCGAACAGGTTTCGGAGAGCGTAGCTCGAGGAAAACTGTGAGCTTTGAGGAACAGATAATGTCCAAGGACGAATATCCGAGCATATTTTCGCGCCAAATGGAGGCTATTATGTTTATTATCGTTCAAATCTTTTTCGCAATACACGCAATTTTGAAAATTGGGAAATATCACTCGGATATTTCCCAGTTTTAGCTGGGACATATTCAATCGCGTGACGCGTTTAGACCAATCGGGCGTCAGCGAGAATATTTGATGGATTATAACAACCAATAGACCCTTTTACCGATACGGTAGCCATTTTGATTTCTATTGAATTGAGAGACATTATGGGATTCTCAGAGCAATATGCGTCCCATAATAGCTATTTGAAACAATAATTCAAAATAGCCGCCGTATCGGTAAAAGGGTCTATTTGTAAAGTTCTGTTGTTTGGAATAATTAATATTCACGAGTGTCCACTACGTTATGTCTGTTTTTTTTAATCCTCAGCTTTGGAAACTGCAGTATGGTCACCCAAAAGAAACCTTACATAGCACAACTCGAGATGCGTTAAGCGAGGTGATGATCCTTGTCAAGGAACGAGCAAAGAAACACGATTTACATTCTCTTGTTCAAGTGAGTTTGCAATGTTAATCTAATGAGTTTAAAAAGTTAAAACTGAGATATTCAACCGTGCTTCCTTTGCTTTTATGATTGCTTTTTAAGCAAGGTTAAGTTTAAGTTTAGTTTAAGTTTAATAATGCTTTGTTATGCTACGACAAGTAAATAAATAACAGAAATTACAAAATTACGAAGGAGACATGATTAGGATACTACAAAATACATTTGAGAAATAAAGAGAAATAAAAAAAGGTAATAAAGAATTTACTAGGATACGTGACTCGAGGATGGAAGGAAAAAATAATGATACTAAAAAGTACACGTTATTTCTTAATCGTTTCGATGTGCTGGTGTATTTCGTGTTCAGTGAGGCCCATGAAACTAGCAGTTCAAATTCTCAACATCGATAGCAATCCCAACCGCATTAAGCTTACCAAGTGGCTTCTTACTCGGTGGGCTCAAAGGGATCCTATTTTGAATCACAACACATCCCACCACTGGCAGGATGGAGGGCTTCTCCGCGGGGCAAGCATTGTTAAGATTGATCAAGATTTGACAATTCAAGCGGGCTATGAGCAGTGAAGTCAACTTGAACAGGCTAATTGTTCATCAGTATGCGCCATCCGTGTTCCTACACGTGTGGTGTGTAGTAAATATTTAAGTGATTCTTTTAAAACCAGTGTTTAACTTTGCAGCATGTCAAAAGTTCTGTTGCTACGCAGTGGAATGGTCGTTACGGAGACCAACTTCTTCTAGCTTACGACAGCATCGTCTTGCATGGCTTAAATGACTACATCAAATATTGCACACAGTTCGCCTGGTATGCTGTCACTCAAGTGCCTCCTCTGAAGATTGACTACAAGACAGCTGCTTACAGTTCTAGGAGTCACACAGTGAACCAAGCTTTTAGCTTTACTGAAGAACGGAGCCCAACTCGTCGTCCCGTTCGTTCAGAATCGCGAACTGTTTTGTGTTATCTGTGGCCAACTCTTCAAGACTGTGATGGTAAAGTTATCAGGAAAGGAGAGGTTATTCTTAATCGTTAGCGTAAACGAAGGTGCATAATACTTTCCTTAAAGAAGAAGGGTAAATGTTTTTAGTATCTAGAGTGTTAGAATAGTGACGTGATGTCTTACCTTGCAGAAGAGAGTACAACTCAATCCGTTAAGGTCATTATGAGGCAGTCTACTAATTCAGTTTGGGCTTCTTTGATATGGAAAGGGAAGAAAAAAGATCTTATATAGAACGTTTAGGTAGTCCGTTTGTAATATNAGCCCAACTCGTCGTCCCGTTCGTTCAGAATCGCGAACTGTTTTGTGTTATCTGTGGCCAACTCTTCAAGACTGTGATGGTAAAGTTATCAGGAAAGGAGAAGTTATTCTTAATCCTTAGCGTAAACGAAGGTGTATTATACTTTCCTTAAAGAAAAAGTGTTAATGTTTTTAGTATCTAGAGTGCTGGAATAGTGACGTGGAATCTTACCTTGAAGAAGGGAGTGCAACTCAATCCGTTAAGGTCATTATGAGGCAGTCTCCTAATTTACGTTGGACTTCTTTGATATGGAAAGGGAAGAAAAAAGGTCTTATATAGAACGTTTAGGTAGTCCGTTTGTAATATATTTCAATACTAAGATTATTATTTTTTACTTGATTTCATATTGTTAGTTAGAAAATGGAAGAATCGAGTTACTAACTATAAAAGCATGTCATGGAGTTACTAAAGCATGCCAGGTAGTTATATTTGATAAAATGATCATTTCAAGATAAAGTGTGCAAGGTTGTTTTGCAGTTGGTCTTTTGCTTGTTAACACCAGCTAACCTCAACTGTAGCAATACAACTAATTACCTGATATGTTGCTAGGGCTGGTAGGTATACTTTCGGTAAACTTCCGCGTGCGGGAATAAGCCCACAAGGAAAATAAAAACTTCTCCGGTGTGAGTGTAAACATATTTACTGTCTACTTATTTACTTTGTGAGAAGAATTCCTCGAGAAACATGGCTACTTTCGAACAAATTCATACATACCAATTATTTACATAGACGTAGCCTAGAAATTTG